AAAGGAAAAATGAAAAGTAACTTGGACTCATAAGTCGTATGACATAAATATGTGATTTATGTGAATATATCAGTGTTGGCCATCTATCAATTGCTAATCTTTTAGTCATTGTTCATGGTTGGTTTAGTGTATTTCTACTGGGCTGTGGCTCACCCTATATGGGAATATCATTTTCAGGTACAGGTAGCATGCCACCTCCAAGGACATAGTTTGGGAGGCTTGAGGCGGACATACTTTTGTCGTTTTACTTTTGATGTATTACATGAAAATTCAAGCCAAGGGCTTAACGTGTATGAGTTAGTACTCTTTTGTTGTAACCAAGTGTTAACTTGGAAAGTTGTAAGCCCATAGGGCATTTGCTTTTGTTGTTAACATGTAATACTTTTTGTAATGAAACTTTGATGAATAGAAGAATGTGGTTTTTGTACATATCAATGCATGTCTTATTTGATGGGTTTAATGTTATTATTTTGAGGGCGTTACATGCCAACAGCTGGCAAGAAAATATTAGCAAAAAAGCATTGGTGGCCGACAGGCCACATCAGTGGCCGGCAACCAAAGGCAATGGTCAGCAGCCTATAATAGTGGTTGGCAGGCCACAAGAGGTTGCAGGCTTCAAAATCCAAGGTTTTGGTCCAAACATAAAGCAACAGGTGTGTAGGGTTTGAAGGCTCAAAACTGTGGCATTCCACTAAAAACCCTGAAAACTTACCAAGCACATATACTCATTATTGGGTGTGCAAACGATGATGTCCAAGTAGTAAGGACGGTCAAAAATGGGGTGTCTATATCCACTATTGATGGCCATCTTGTCAGTATCACAGAATCCATGATTGCCGACGTGTTAGGGTTCTTTTCCAAGACAAAACACCAGCCTTTCCCGGAAGTTGAGGGCCGGCAACCCATACATAGCCTCACCCAAGAGTACTTCCCGGGTGCCCACAGTGACGCAATTTACATGTGCTTGCGTCGGAGCAAGCTGCCTGGCCGCTTACTATTTATTGATTCTGTTTTACATAAGAATGCCCTTCCACTTGGACATAAAGCTGAGCGCCGCTTGGAGTTTGTTCAGGTCTTACATGGTTATCAGCGTGGCTATCAGGTCTCGCTTGCACACATCAACTGGATGCATATGTGCAAAATTCTACAAGAGGCAGTTCGGCCTCAACCTATGCAGAACCTGACTTGGCCCCTATCATTTGCCAACTTGCTCACACTTGTCTTCGAGCTGAACAGTCTCCTCATTGATTCGACTGAGGAGATTCACAGAGCTTATCCAACTTTCGGGCAACAGGAATGGTAGCATAGCATATCTCGTATCCTGCAGCAAGTTAGTGCCCTGGTTGACGAGGCCCAGGACCCCGTCTATGACTAACTACCTCATCCTGCCTCCCCTGTGCCTCCCCAAGGGGACCCACTATACATGACTCACGAAGAGTACTTACAGCTTCAGCACTCTGTGGATTAGGTCCATGGTACTCTTTGTGATCACCACCAGATTCTCATGGAGTTGCACACGGATTTTCAAGCGTATCAAGACTATTCTCATGCGACTTTCGACCAGCTCAATGCCTGCCAGCTCGACATTCAGCACTTAGTTACATCACTGCAAACTAACTTTTATACATATCGAGAGTCGAGCCATCATATTTTTGACCAGCTAGGCACCCGGGTTCAAGATGAAGCATTTGAGACGCGATCTTTGATGCATGCCTTGTTTGCCCAGCAATTCCCACCACCACTACCATCGGATTCTCAGTAATACTGGCATATATTTTGTTTTGTCTCTTTTATTTCTATTTTTCCTTTTAGTTATTTCTTCTTTCAAAAAATAATAATAATTGAAAAAAAAAACAAATAAAGAGTAAAGTGTGTGTGTGTTACTATTTGCTTACCTGGATGTGCACCTACAATCTTTGGTAATATTCTCTTATTTGTATTTACTTGGCTTTTGCTTCCATTGAGGAGAATGTCATATTCAAGTTGGGGGATGAGGGTATTTTCTTTCGTGCATTTCTATTTAGCTCATAATTCATGCTTATACCTGCTTCACTTAATTGCATTACTTCACTTGATGTTGACTTGTGCTAGTAGGGTGATGATATTTGCATATGTTAATTGGGGAGCATAGTAGACTTGTATGAAAAAGGGTTTATTGGGTAAATACTTGCATGTGATGTTTGCACTAGAGAGTTGTTTGTGTCTGTGGTATTAGTACACTTGTCATGAGTATGCCTTGATTTATATGAACACACTTTCATAGTAGTGACCTCTATATTCTAATCCCTGGTGTACATCATTGATAATTGCTAGGGTTGCAGAAAAGAATAAATGAGTAGCCAAAATTCTTTTAAAAAAAAAAACTTGACTTGTTTGGGTTCGTAGCCTCTTTAACTCGAGTTATTAAGCCCGTAGGGGTATCTCTACACCTATTGCCCTAAAACCATCTGGCTTAGGAGTCACTGGCCCAATACTTGCTATATGGGCTAATTAGAAAGCTTAAGGGACCTAAACATTCCACAGTTAAGGAAAAGTAAGGAGAATGACTTGTTTGGACTTGTAGCCTTTTCAACTTGAGTTATTAAGCCTGTAAGGGTGTCTTTACACCTAGTGCCCTAAAACCTTCTGGTTTGGGAGTCATTGGCCCGATGCTTGTTAGATGGGTTGATTAGAAACTTAATGGATCAGGACATTGCACAGTCTTTCCAGAAAAAAAAAGCAAAACAAAACAAAACAAAAATTTTGATAATCTTCGTTGCAATAGTTTAGTTTTTCTGTATATGCTGGGTGTTATTATGAGTTACACTGGGCTATTATAGTAGACAGTTAACTAGTATGGGGATTGCACTTTACACCAAGGGTACTGATGATGTGTTTACTAGCATTCACAAGTACATGGGACTTTACTTTTGTATTAACTGAATTGTAGTCTTTGCTCAGTAGTTTCCTTCATGCTTGTCTACTGTGCCGTCAATGACTCATCATGTCTTAATATTGCACTGTATTAGCACATAAGTTAATTATTGAGTGGTGTAGTGTGATTGATTGTTGCTGGCTAGATGTGAATATGTTAATGTTTGTGGGTATCATTTCTAGAAACCCTCACGAGACTTTACTTGTCCACTTGGGGTAACTTTGTGGTTTAAAGGCTTGTTGCATATGCTAAATGCAACCATTTTCCTACGAAAGATGAAATAGCTAGATTTTGTTTAATTTAATTTTATTTTATTTTATTTTTATTGCTTGCTTGAGGACTAGTAAGTTATAAGTTGGGGGATGTGATTAAGGCCGAATTGTGCAACATTGAGGCTGTTAATTAGAATCTCTTAACTTTACTTGCTTGTCAAACTATATATTTTATGTCTGTTTAATGTCAACTAGGTTGTATATAGTCGGAGCATAAAATGGGCAAAAATACAGAATTTGGAGAGAAAAGAGCTTCCCGCACGTGCATTGACTTTTTCCGCACATACGGTCGTACCTCGGAACACGGGCTCGATGTTTTGAACCTGTTTGAAAGGCAACAAAGGTATAAAAAGGCAAGAAAGAGGCTGGATTAGGGTTCAAAATTTATTCTGAAGGAAAGGGAGGCTAGGGTTTAGAGAAGATGATTTTCCCTCAAGCTTCAAGGACAACTTCCATGGGGGCTTCCATCTCTTCCACCTCTTCCCACTCCTCCATGAGTGGCTAGGCTCTTCTTTTCTAGGGTTTTGATGAAACCCTAGCCATGTAAAATGGATTTTTCTGAGGCTTTAATTGCGAAACGGTTTGAACACATGTATGGATGTTTTAGAAGTTTATAATAATTGTTATTTTCATCTCTTCAAGTATTTTACTCTCTGTGATTGCTTAATGCTTTCCATACATTAGTTTTCTTTGTGTTTGTATTCAATGTACGAGACAAGTCACGCTACGAGAGACGGGCCGTGTTGCTAACATAGTTTAGAGCAAACGCCTCATGCTACTTGGGATGATTCATGCCTGTACGTTGAATGCAACAACCCTCTTGATCAAAATTTCAAACTTGTAGTTGTGAAATATTGGGTATTTCAAACCGAATTGCAATTATTGGCTGATGTTTAATCTCGTTTATATAGTTAGTAGTGAATTCTTTGCCCTAGGATTTTTCCCAAAAATCAATCTATCAAACCCTACGTTTAATTGTCAATTTAATTTCTCAATTTCATTTAATTCCTATTTAGGCATAAAATCTCTTAATCTTTTTAATCAAAATTAATTTAGGAATTTAGCGATTAAATTAATCTAATTTCACAATTATCCCTGTGGATTGATACTTGGACTTGCCATTATTCTAAAAAAATTTGGTATAGTTTAGTGTTTACATTTGGTGTGTGTAATGACCCATAATTGATAAATAACAAATCATAAATACAAAGCATATATGTATATATATATATATAAACAATATGGCTAGTTCCAAATTAGAATCATAATTATAAAACTACAGATCAAACCGTAAAATACAATTTACCTATTTTAAGAATCAAGACCAAACCATAATTGATAAAATCAAACCAAACAGTGTACTTTGGTTTGAATCAAACCGTTGCGATTTTTTCAATTTCTTACTTAGCCCTATAAAATATATATATATATATATATATAATTTCTATTGCAAAATGTAAACTTATTATAATTTTAAATATGCATACCATAATTTCACCACTCATAACTTTCATTATGAAAATGTATAATTTGATATACATCTTTATAGGGTCCACATTATTTTATAAAGATCAAGAATTTGTGGAGTAACTATCAAACTAACATACCTCTCTGCCACCTACCATGGAAGACACTCAAAGAAATGAAAACAATTCACTCATCAGAAAGAAACTAAGCATGAGCTAGACAACGATTGCCATGATGACGATCTACTTATTGCACCACTTCCCAAAGTAAAGGGATGGCTAGGTTTTAAAGATCTTTATCATCTTTACGAAGGTTTTTGGTGCCCGAACGATCTTATTCGAGGAGTAATGTCAGTCCAACAACATTTCAAAGCTCAAGACATAGACCTTATACTCGTCACCATGCCCAAATCAGGCACCACCTTGTTGAAGGCCTTGGCCTTCACCATCGCCAGCCACCATGACTACCCTAGCAAGCTTTCTCGACACCCCTTTCTCACTTCCAACCCTCACAAGCTCGTCCCTTTTCTCAAGCTCAATTCCAATAAAGAAGGTTGTCATATTCGTTACCTTCCCATTGTCTCCAACTTTCAATCCCCTATGCCTAATATTTTTTCCACCCATATCCCCTATCATTCATTGCCCGACTCAATTAAGAACTCTGGTTGTCGTGTTGTCTATCTCTGTCGCAATCCCTATGATGCCTTCACCTCCACTTGGCACTTTGTGAATAAGGCTAGAGCCGAGAGCCGAGGGCCTTTATCATGTGATGATGCTTTCGACATGTTTTGTAGAGGTGTCATCGGTTTTGGGCCCTTCTGGGATCATGCATTGGGGTACTGGAAGGAGAGCTTGGAAAGGCCTCACGAGGTGTTGTTTTTGATGTACAAGGACCTAAAAAAAGATATTACCCTTCAAATAAAAAGGGTAGCCGAGTTTATGCGTGTTCCATTCTCTTTGGAAGAAGAAAGAAAAGGTGTGATAAAAGAGATAACCAAGTTGTGTAGCTTTAATAATTTGATAGTGTTGGAGGTGAACAAATCTGGTTCACTTCTACAATTTAAGAATAAGACGTTTTTTAGGAGAGGTGAAGTAGGTGATTGGGTCAATCATTTGACACCTGAGATGGTCCAACATTTAAAAAAGATCATGGAAGAAAAGTTGGATAATTCTGGGTTATCATTTAAAACTAGTTTGTGAAAAATGATCATTGTCATTTCGTCGATTTGAATTATTAGAAGTAATAGTCTTGGGATTATAAGTCCCTTACGATTATGTATTCTATGTCAAATTTGAAATGTCTTTGGATTAGAAGGAAGATTGATAAAATCTTATCTTCATGTTTGTTTGAAAATACTATTAGTGGACTATATGGTGTAATATAATGACCACAGTTTGAGGATATTTTTGTGCTTTAACCCCTAATCTAGACCTCCTTACTCGTCCCATTTTGCAACCTGCCCCTCTTATGAGACTCAATAGTATTTTGTCAATCTAGAGGTCCATTTTAATATATAAACATGAGCAAGATACATAATCCAATCTTATGCATTAATCCCTCCAAACAAACACAACCGATATGTAATGAGGATGAATGAATTTCTTACTTGTTTAAAAACTTAATCGTTCAAAAAGTTTACTAACTTTAATCTAAAAATTGAACCCAATGTGCACTAGCTAGGATGATTAAACTACTATACATGTTGCCACCAAAGGCCTCAACCTAAGCCAAACATATTCACATAGTTAACGAGTAAAAATTTAGATGTTCCTAGAATTGTTGCATAGTTAAATCACATATCAAGAATGTACAGGACAAAATTCTCTAGAAATACTTATTATTTTTATTAGAGGTAGGTCTTACCCTACTGATGCATTTTAACTATTTTCTTATAATTTAATTTTGTATATCTAGTATCATTCAAGAGCAAGGAATTCTACTTATAACCCAGAACTAGAAGTATGGATTTTGTATATGTAGTATCATAGAAAGAAATGGTTGACACACATATCATTCAAACACCATAATCTAAATCCAAAGGTTGTTGAAATGGCATCTAAATTCAATGAGAAATGAAAACTTGACAACTATATGGTGGACCAAACTAGCATTAGGTCTGACAATTTTGTTTGCAAGCATCATATATATGCCAAGAGTACTAAGAAGTGTTTGGAGTTTGCTTTTTTGTTTCTTTTTTTTTTTTTTTTTTGGTTAGTTTATTTTTATTTTTATTTTTGGTGAACATTTTTATAAAAAAAAAATTTGAAAAAATTTTAGCCATCTAAATTCTACTTGACGAGATGAACCAAAAAAAATTTAAAATTTAAAAAAAAAAAAAATCCAAAATGACAAAATAAGTAAAAAAATAATAAACTTTTATGGTTTTTTTTTTTGAATTTTTTTTAAAAAATTTTATACTTTTTAAATTCGTCTATACCTGATCAAAAAATAAAAATAAAAAATTGATATAATTTAAAAAATTTCATAAAAATGTGATTTATTTGGAAGTTGCCAGTCAGTTCGAAAATATCATAAATAAGTTATCCTCAATCCTGCCCATAAAGTGCTCAATAATTAATTCCACTGCTTCATAGTTTCTTGCTTTTATAGCATGAAAGTATGAATTGGGATCCTCCCCTTGAGGCCCCTCCTTCATTCTCTCCTTGTAGGGGCCTTCGGGTCCACTTTGAGACCCAGTTTTGATAATCCGAACTGTTCATATTTTTAGATTTATTTAGTATATCATACCTGTAAAAAATCAAGTTGATCGAATATCATAAAGTATGTGTTCGGAAAACTGTTTATTAAAAAATAGTTTGTAGTCCCAATTTTTTGAACGCATACTTTCTGATATCCGATCAACTTGATTTTTTACAGGTATAATATATTGAATAAATATAAAAATATGAACGATTCGAATTATCAAAACTAGGCCTCAAAGTGGACCCGAAGGCCCCTGCAAGGAGGGAATGAAGGAGGGGCTCAAGGAGGGGATCTGGACTCTGAAAGTATGTCAGCATCAATGGCCAAGATTAGTGGTCCACACAAAAAGACAACTAATTACAAAAAAGGGAAAATTTCACTTCAGCCTACTTTTGAAAAGTAATAACAAAAATGTAGTAAATTTTATAAATATTGATAAATTGAAAACAAAAACTTTATCATGAACCAGTAATAAATTTTTAAAACTGATTGATAATTTCCCTAATAAAAAAAGCTAGGTAAACTTCATTATTAAACATTTCAATTTCCAAAAGGAATGAGCATGAAGCCTCCAAAATTTGTTGCAGGTGCATTTTGATTGATCATTTGCCCTGAATGAGGGTTGTTGTGCCTCAATTTGAGGGTTATTATGGACTTATTTTTATGATCTGAACCGTTCATTTTGTAGGGTTCATTGAGTACTTTATGCCTACCAAAAATTATATTAATTGGATATCAATAACTATATGATCAAATTACATTTATCATAAAAAAATAAAACAATAAGTTTTTCTTTTGAGAAATAGTATACAAAATATACAATCTGATCACATAGTTATTGATATCTGTGAATATAATGTTTGGTAGGCATGAAGTACTTAACAAACCCTACAAAATGAACGGTTCAGATCATAAAAATAAACCCATAATAACCTTCAAATTGAGATACAACAGTACTGTTGTACTAAAGGCACAATAATCCCCATGCCGCCATTTCATTGGTTCAATAGGCCTGAATAAAAATAGAACTACTCTCAATCTATGAACCATCATCTGATCTCATAAACGGGCAACAATAAATAAAAAAAAAAAAGTAATACATATCTAAGAACTGTAAAACAAACTCAATAAGTCAAAAATCATTAAAAGTTTATTTGAAATCAGTTTATTAGGTAAATAAATTAAGTTTGAATATATTTTAAAATTCATTAAGCTTTTAAATTAAATTTGAGCAACTTGGTATTTGACTCAACCTAATTATATGTATATACTATGAAAAATTAAGCTACTTAAGCTATACTCGTGTTCCGATCAATTGAAACTTGTTTGAGATCAGCTTGAAATGCAAACAAATTAAGTTAGAGCAAATTTTAAAATTTATTAAATTTTCAAATCAAATTTAAATAACTTATCATTAAAATTGACTCAACTCATCACACTTTGTTTGGATAGAGTGATTCAGTGAGAAAAGATTAAAAAAAAAAAACGAGAGAGAAAAAATAAAAGAGCTTGATAATAATTTTCTTAATCTGTGTTTGGTTGAAAGATTTGATGAGAAAAATAAAAAGAAATAAATAATAATAATTTAGAAAATAAAAATGTAAAATTAACCCAATATGATAAGAAAAATGATATATAAACTCACTCTATAGATCTATTTTTTATATCTTGTGATATATCAATAAGATAATTAATTAACATTTAGAAAATAAATTTAAAAAAAAAAAACAAAGAGAATTGACTTTCCCATGAAAGACCTCAATAATTAATTACACAGCCCTACCACACATTGCCAGCATCAGTATTATCATCAACTGGTCTACCATAAAAGGCAATGTTAAAAAAGCAAAAGCAAAAGCAAAAATATGATTGGTTTGTCTAATTATGGAAAAATTTTGGGACATTTTTTCATAAATTCCTTTTCACCTACTTATGTTCTATTTAGTCCACATTATTTTCTTATGGTTCAATAAGACTTATGGGTGACATAATTATCAAAATACTCCTCATAGTATTCACATTTATAGTGTGAATGTTCCATGACATGAATGTTTACACCATCAATGTGAATGTTAATATGTCAATGCGAATATTCACATTGTCAATGTGAACATTTACATGTCATTATGAATATTCACATTATAAAATATAAATGTTCATATTACCGAATTCCTAACCGTTCAAAAATATTTATAAGGGTAGAAATGTCTACAAAATACCTTAAATATGAGAATTATGATTTGGTAGATCAAATGTCTAAATAATAGGACTTATTAGAATATAAGAATATCTTATGAATTAATTGGGACACAAATACTTGAAAAAGGATTTTCTAATAAATTTTTCAAAATTTTATAATACATCTTAGTTATGGTATTTGTGATATTTGATTATAATTTGTTGTAACATTAGTTTTATGTTGGTTATAACTCATTATGATATTAACTATGACTAATTATAATATTAATTATGATATATTATGATTATTATTTTCGTTATAATCAAATTTTTTTTAATTATACTAAAGTTTGGAAACTAGTTAAAATAGCCACTATCAAAAAATCGATTCTTCTCTCTACTTTTTTACAAATTTTTTCATAAAAAGTCAAAAGTAAACTAAAATAATTAATTTCCAAAACAATAGTAATGTTTGGTTATGACTTTGTTGTGATGGAAAGATCTATTGGAATTATTATTGTGTATTCTAAAATGATCCAAATAGATTGCATTCTCGCAAGTTTAAATTTGAATAGTTATATTTGACCTCTTATTTTGATAATTCAAAATTTTATTTCATAAAATCATTCGTATATACTATTTATAAAATTAAAAAAAATCAAATCAATATAGTAATACTTTTATTTTTTAAAAAATGGATCTTTTTTAGTAAATCCCCTTTCTAAGAGTTCTATTCCATCTAACCGAAAATGTTTTCCATTAGGTCCTAATCGATGTAATAAGACCAAATAGTCCCAAGCCCTCACATACGTATCTCCTGTAACGCCCTCAAAATAATACATAAAACCCATCACTTCAGATGTGCATTGATATAAAAGAAACCAACCATTTCTATTCATCAGAGTAGTTCTTACAACAGTATTACATGTTAACAACAAAAGCAAATGCCCTATGGGCTTACAGCTTTCCAAGTCAATACTTGGCTACACAAAAGAAAAGTATTAACTCTATACAAATAAGCCCTTGGCTTGATATACATGTAACACAATCAAAATAAACAAAAGAGTCTTCAACTCTCATCATCACCCAAGCTATGTCATTGGAGGTGGCATGCTACCTGTACCTGAAAAATAATGTCTCATATAGGGTGAGCCAACGCCTAGTAGAGATATGCTAAACACAATATGAGCAATAACTAAGACATTAGCAAATGATA